ACTGGTGTGGAGCTGGGGTGTGCCCAGGAGAAGGTCTGAGGGTCCCTGGCAGAGGGTAGATGAGAAGAGGAAACAGCTCAGCTTAGCTCCTGTTCCGAAGTGCCAGGGCGGGCCACCGAAGTTTCTGATGCCCCGGACAGTGCTCCTGTTTCCTGGACAGACCAGAGGTGGATGGGCCATGTTAGACAAAAATCCCCTGCGTGGGGCAAAATCCCCTCACAGCTCATGAGTTCAAGAAAGAGTGTGTGTGTGTGTGTGTGTGTGTGTGTGTGTGTGTGTTTGATCTGTCTCCATAAGTCTTGTGGAGTCCTTAAGACTCAAATTCAAAGTCTAGAGGACATGCCTTCTATGGGTGTCAAAAATAAAGGTGTTTTCAGGGGACTCTGGTGATGGTGCACGGGCAAATTAGTGAATTGGCGAAGTAAATTCTATAGGGACTACACCTGGGTGTGGGGGGGAAGCAAACATTGTTAGAAAATGAAAATGAGGTGGGGCTTCCTTGGTGGCACAAGGGGTTAAGTGCAGCACTATGAAGCTATAGGCAGCCACTGCAGCACAAGTTCGATCCCTGGCCAGGGAGCTACCCACATGGTAGCAGACCTCTCCCGCCTCGCCTGCTGCTCCCCTCCAGCAGTGTATTTCAGTCTGCCTGCTCTGCTCCCCACTCTGTCTCTGGTGAATCTTCTCACCCCCCACCCCGCACCTCTGGCCTGTACTCCAGTTCTTGTATGCATAAATAAATAAATCTTTTAAAAAATGAACCGTGTTCTAAAATATATATAAATTTTTAAAAAAACATAATAAAAATAAAGGTGTTTTATTTATACATTTTGCCATCAGGAAGAGAGTTAAATGCTATTCTGGTGCCCTCTCTGTACCATAAGTTGATTTAAAAACAAAATCTCAAAGTATGTCATATACGGTCCTTCCCACCCCATGTCTCAAAAGGCAAATGCCTGGGGCAGGTGGGGACAGGGAGTGGGCAACTTTGATTCCATTTAAACAAAAATCTATGAACTACCTTCTCTGCCTTTGCACAGTCTAAAATGGAAATGCCAGTTCTGACCCAGGCGGGAGAGGCCCGGCCAGTCCTTCCCAACCTAGCTTCTGTCACCTTCATCACTCATGCTCCAGCCTCACTCGGCAAATCCTGCCCCAGGCCCTTTGCACTTGTGGTGGCTTCTCCCTGGATGGTCCCGCTCCTGAGACTTGTCACCTGGCTTCCCCATGTCACAGATCTCAGTCCCCTCTCAGTCGGCCCTCCCTGACCATAAGACTCAAGACAGGTCCCTCCTGGTTACTCTTAGTCCATTACCTGCTGTATTTCCTACTTAGCATTTGTCTTTTTTGATCCCCCTGGGCAGACAGGGGCTGACTTCTGCGCTGCACACAGCTCCTAGCACATTCCCTCCATCAATACTTGCAGCATAAAGAATCCAATCTGCACACTGACAAACCAACCAGAACTGAAATACACCTGGAGTGAATTTTTAAAAGAAAAAAAAGGCATGGCAAGGAATTGTAATTCATGGTGTAAGGTCGCTGCTTCCCGGCTCTTACACTAATTTGAGGCTGAAGTACCAGAAAATACCAAACTTCCCTTAGGTAGCACTGCGATGAAATGCTTACTAAAGTATCCAACAACATCTTCACATCATACACTGGCCACAATTTGACTTTGGCTTCCTGCCTTGAGGTCATCAGGATCACGGACCAAGTCACGGATCAAGGTTTGCCCCCACCACTGTGTATTGGGGGGGAGGGGTTGTGCGCCCCCTCACTCGGTGGCTCCAGATCGCTGTGCTGTGCTGTGGTTTTAAGTTTGGTATCTGACTCCTCCCTGCCTGCTAGTCATCATCCTCTCACCCGACAAGCCACAGCCCTCGCCAGCAGTTCCATTCTGCTGCGAACTGAAAAGACCCAGAACCTGTTAGAATCTGTGTGTGAACCAAGAATAAACAGGACCTGGATAAAGACCCGAAAAGCTCTCCTGTTAATGAGGCCTGCATGTCGGGTCATCTCATCTGATGCTCGGTGAGGACCTTCCAGCTGTGCCTGAGTCCACGCTGCGCAGGCAGCAGCCTCCTGACCATGCAGCACCCCACCCACCCTGCAGTGTTCCTGGTGGGGGGCGGGGGTGCCTTGGCTCCAGGGTGAAGCCACGTGGTGCTCAGGCAGCCAAAGCCACTGAAAGGCTTTTAAAAGTGATGTGAAATCCCCTCGGCTTCCCTCTCCTCCACCTGGGAAAGTGGGGGCCTGCGGAGCAGAGAACCACAGCTGAGCTGAGTGCACCTTTGATGGTGACCAGCAAGGCCCTCGGGAGCCTGCGCGGAGACTCGCTGTGGAGTTAGCTCTGAGTCCAAATCCTGGGTCCTCAGACAGTTTCGTTTTAGGAAGAGACAGTTAGCGCCTCTGTCTCCGTCTCAAACAAATGTCTTTTAACGAGAGGATATAAAATGCGTCCTTTCCATGAGGCAGTTTGAACCGCACTGTACCACATTTGTTCTAATGTGTGTGCATATGCAAATTTACAGGAAAAAAAGACAAAGTCTAAAGATCAAACAACTGAGTGGCCTTTGCAGGTCTGGGTCATACGGGTACTTCGGTTTGTTTCGTCTTTGTATTTTGGCTCCCTGAGTTTCTTTTGTGGGGCATGCGAGACTTTTATAATTGGGCAGATAAAAACTACTGTAAGATTTTCTTTGTCACCTTCATGCTACCCACTCTGTCCCATCTGTTCCCCTTTCTGAGCCTGCCCACCTCTCCAATCTGTGCATCCAGTGGGGTGGGCTGCGGACCGAAGTCCAGCTCCATCTGAAATGCCCTCAGCCCCAGCCACAGGGTATCTGGGCCCCCGGGAGCCCTAAGTCCCACCACACGGGAGATGTCAGGCCCCCCCCATCCCTCCCACCCAGCACCTGGGGCCCTGGGAAGGAGGTCTGCCTGCATGGCACAGCCTTACAGGTGCCCCAGCTCCAACTACCCTCCCAGGAAGCTAAGGAGCCAGGAAGGCTGCCCCTGAGCCCAGACTGGGATGGTGGCAAGCAGGGTGTGGTCTTGAAGACAGGTGAGCCCAGTCTTCTCCCATCAGCAAAATGGGGTAATCGTCCTCATTGGACGGGATAATAGATGGGATAATGCACACAGGGGAGCGTGGGGCACCGTGGGGGCCCTGAGTAGATGTAATTAATGAGAATTCCTAGACCACAGGGGCTTCAGTCCAGGCCCTGAACCCTGCCCCTTTAGAGTGCCCAGGAAGTTCTTATCCACGGGTGGATATTCCCACATCCCCACATCCCCACGGCCGGCCATTCTGCTGGACCTTCCGGTTCTGGCCTCCAGAAATCCATGGCTCAAAATCGCTACCTCCAGGAGGCTCTCAGCGTATCTCCCTGCCAGCTGGGGTCCCTGAACGCCCACATTAGACTCAGAATTCCTGAGAATTTGCACTTTGCGCTGTGCCAGCTGGCAAATTCCCAACTGACTTCTCCGATTTGCATTTGTACTTGTTCTTCCCTGACTCTGCGGACTCCGGTGGGCTGGGGTGTGCGCTGGGGCTGGACACTCCAGGTGAGCCCCACACACCCCTGTGACTTCTCATATTGCAAGACTGAGCAGATACAGAAAGGGACAGAGGAAGACTTTCTTAAATGAAAGAAAAAAAATTTTAAGCTTTTTTGATCACTCCAGCTGACCGAAAGACCAAGCAATGCCAGGACTAGTCCTCCTCAAAGCTGCAGCCCAAGACCTCCAGGTCAGCAGCACTTGCTTGTTAGAAAGGCAAAGTCTCAACCCACCTGGGAACCAGTGAATTTGACAGTGAACCCTGGGGTGGGGCCCAACCCTGTTTTCACAAGCCCTCCAGGTGGTTCTGGGCTGGTTTGCCTTTGAGGGGTGCAGAACTTAGCCAAAAGCCAGTCTCCGCCAGGGGCCAAGTGAGGCCTTCGCTTCCTCAGGAAGGACAGGGCGGCAGGAGTTTGCTATTTGTCTGTGTTCCGCTTCTGCAAGTGTGTATGTAACATTTCACAAGAGCAGAGCAGTCATGTCTGCAAATTCAGGTCTAAAAAAATCTCTGGAGTGCACTTCCACCCTTCAGCCTAGCACCGCTGGCATTCCTCATAAATTAGCCAGAAAACTAAAGTTTACCCTGTGGAAGTCCATTTTATAAATCTAATTTTTCCTGCTTTAAATAGAATCTGCTACCGAATGTTCTCCTTTTCATTATGACCCAGGAGCCTCGTTATGAACTAGCTCGCGGAACTGGGCCACCCGACAGAGGGTGAGGTTTGGATGTTTGCAAAAAGACAGCCCCCAGGTTCCTCCACTGTGAGTTCCTGTGCTTGCTTTCCAGAAACTACTGTCCATTCCTAACTCGGCAGCTCTCTCATGTCATTCCTCGGGGTGGGCTCCCCAAATAGTCCTAGTCTCCCTTCTCATCTGGGCCGAGAAGACCAATAACCCTCCTGGTTCAAACTGTGTGTAGAGGCCTCCCTGGTGGCGCAAGGGGTTAAGTGCAGCACTGTGAAGCAATCCGCAGCCTCTGTAGCATGAGTTCGATCCCCGGCCGGCCAGGGAGCAACCCACATGGCGCAGCAGACCTCTGCTGACGCGCCTGCTGCTCCCCTCAGCAGTGTATTTCAGTAGATCTGCCTGTTCTGCTCCCCACTCTGTCTCTGGGGAATCCCTTCACCCACACATACACCTACCCCCCACCCCACACCTCTGGCCTGTACCCCACCTCTTGTATGCATAAATAAATAAATATTTAAAAACAACAACAAAAAATAAACTATGTGCAGAGCATGAGTTAACAGTCCTAAGGCGACCTCTCTGAAGGGGCTCCCTGAGCCTGGAGCTCTTTCCTCTCTTTCACCGCCCACAGTACCTCAACGTGCCTCAGCCAATGGGACAACTTCTAGAGAATCTGACATTTAGTGTTTCACTAAATTCTTCCAAGCTGGGAATAATGGTGTCAAGGTGCAGCAGGGAAGTCAGGTTACCTGGTCCTGGAGTTTCTGGAACATCAGTGGGTGTGGTTCTTCCAGAATCTTCTCATTGAGCCGGGACTGCCCCTCGACGTTGACTTGTGATGAGGCCTTGCTGGACAGAAAGGTCAGGTAGATGTCCTTTGCCTTTTCCTGCATCTGGGGAGACACAGCACCTGCTTATTATCTGGCCAGGCCTGGAGGAGCTGCTGCAGCAAGACCGGCCAGTCCACTGCCCTGCATCTCGGCCTCCCAGAGCCCAGCTCCCCCGGGGAGGGGTCAGTGGGCCCAGCCCCCAGCTTCTACCCTGCAGCTTCCACAGATCTGTAGCCACATCTCCTGTCACTAAATTGCTACACTATCCACTCCGAAATGATGACAGGAAGACTCCTGGCCCAGAGTGAGGGGTATTTAGTACAAACTCAGGACCACCAGGAGAATTCTCTAAAGTAAGGACTTGTGGGAAAACTACTCAGTCAAAAAAGGAACAAGGTACAGCAGATCTTGAAAGAATGTTTCCTTCAACACTATTTCATTGTAACACTGATGAGAAAAAATGGATTTCCAGCAGGGCCACCATGTGGGGGTGCCCTCCCATGTCTGTGTGGACTTCTCCAGGGACCCCAGATCCCTCTCACATCCCAAAGATGTGTGCAGAGGCATGCAGGTGTCTCAGTTGGGGGATTGTGGGTGTGCTTGATGTGCTCTGCTTTGGAAGGGCATCCCGTCCAGGGTGGGGCCCCACCATGTCCCCTCAGCTGCCAGTCACCTGAGACCCTGAACTGGAATAAGCAGGTTGGAAAATGAATGAATGAATACAAATGACTGTTTAATACTGGAAGCATTTTAGGGTCTTTATTTAGAATTTTGGTGATGTCTTTATTTAGAAATATTCCGCAGGAACTTAGCTCTTGTTTATACCAATCAGTCTGTGGTCAATTTGGTTTCATTAAATGTTGTTTTACTTAAAGTCACTGTTTCCAAGAACCTGCCGCCAACACAAATGACTGTCAGAAACTCACTAGACACTCGCTCGACATGGGTGACAGTCACAGCTAAAGGCCACGCGCTGCAGGACACTATTCACACAGAATGTCCAGAATAAGCAAATCCACAGAGACAGACAGTGAGAGCAGCCCAGAGCTGGGGCAGGGGAAGGGGTGTAGAGTAGACCGTGGTCGCCTGTTTCTGTTTGGGGCGGTGAAGAAATTCTGGAACTAGAGAGCAGAGATGGCTCTACACCATTGCGAATACTTAAAGCTCCTGCGCTCTTCACTTTAAAGTGGCTAAAGTGGCAAAAAAAAAAAAAAAAGAAAAGAAAAGAAAAGAGAGATGAATGAAAACTCTAAGAAATGGTTAAAATGAGAAAAACTTAAGTCAGCCGTACTCCACTACAATTTTTAAAAGTTAAGGTAAAGCACGCACACATATCCAACCAGCTCTCAAGCTCCTACTGTGCTCCAGACACAGACCCTGTGCCCTTCGTCCCCTGAGGACCCATCCCAGCTCTGCCATGCCCTGATGAGGACCCGGAGGCCAGGAGAGGGGCCAGGCTCAGCTGAGGAGTCTGCTTCATGACAGAGTTTTGGGCTCCCAAATGCTGCGTTTCTGCTCAGTTCCAAGCCCAGGAGATACACGGTTCCCTCCAGGCTGTGTGGTCTGTCAGCCTTCCTGCAGGGTGTTCTTTCCAGGTAACAAGACAGAAGCATAAGTAAGAGAGAGAACATTCGCAAGTGCAGCCCCGCTGGGAACTGCCAGCACCAGGCAAGCACCTGCCCTGAAAGGCTCCTCAGACCTTGGGGAAAGGTGCCGGCACCTGCGCTTGGAAAAACCAGGCCTGGCTGGAGCAGGGACGCTCTCCCAGTAAATGCTTGGCCTCAAGAAGGCAGGCCTCAGGGCTGGGGCGGCTGAGGGAGCCTGGTCCTTCACCGTCCAGAGGGCTGTTTTCTCTTGGAGAGAATGACTGTGCCCACCCCTCCAGCAGCACAGAACAGGCAGCTTCTCTAAACGTTACAGGCTAAGCAGCACCTCCCCCATGGGGCATAACCGCCTCTGAGATGCAGCTGTGGAGCTATGATTTGTGGAGCAGGTGAAGGGGCTCTGTGGAGCCTGGAAGACTGCCTTCTCTCCTGAGCCCACCCGAGGCCCGCGCAGGCTGCAGAGCCTTAGGAAGCCCCAGGCTCTGAGAACCCACTAGCTTTATGGAAACCACCAGAGGCGATTCCTGCTGCTTTGGGGGTAATACAGCCCTTCATTTATTTTGGTTTCAGGAACTAGTTGACAAAAGACCCCAGGGGGCTGAGGCCTGACCACTGTGCAGAAAGAAAGTCTGGACGGGCATCCATGCAGGAGCCCAGGGTAGGGGTAAGGCCCGAGGCCTGGTGTTTGTTCCTGATCAGCTATGAGGGTGAGTAATGAATGAGCAGACGCCTGACTCAAGGGCACAAGGAGCATCTCAGGACGGACAGGGCTGTTCCAAGGGATGCGGCTGGAGGCCACCATGAGACCCCAGGTGGGGCAGGTCTCAGGAGCCACTTTCTCTCAAGGGCCTACCTGCTCCGTGAAACCATGAGCCTCCCTCCACCACTGTCAGGAAGGAAGATTTTTGGAAAACTACTTCCTGTTTTAACAAAACTTCACAAAAGTAGAATTTTAGCCAGTCAGATGAGCAAACTCTACACACAAATCACGTTGGGACTCTCTCCCCCTCCTCCCGACACACACTGATGGGTGAATCCAGGTTCTCGCGGGAGGTTCTGAAAGGAGGTGTAATGAGTATTTGAGGCTGGAGAGGGGCTGGGACAGGAGGAGAGGCGGGTTCAGGGGCCTGTAGGGGAGAAGCCTGGGCATCTCAGCCCTGCCCTGCACCCCCAGCACCCGGCCCAGGCTGACCTCCTGGTCTCCCACCCCCGCCCCCGGCTGACCACACATGGTGGTGCCTTGGGCAGCAGCGCTTATCTGGACCCGGGTAGGAAGCGTGACTGAAAAGGGAAACCCTGAGGCTGTGACCACAAACTGGTCACGGGAAGGCCCGGTGTCCATGCTGAGGACACCAAGCGAAAAGAAGAACCGAGTCCTTTGAGTTATTCTGGTAGATTTTCCAGAGCCTCGTTAACCTTGTTCTAGCTCCTGTCGGGATAGAAACAGAACCTCCAGCTGTGGCGGAACTACCCAGGTCTGTGACCTATAAGAAGAGCCTCCCCAGGGCCTCCCTGGTGGTGCAGGGGTTAAGTCTCAGTACTATGAGGCTTTCCGCAGCCACTGCAGCAAGAGTTCAATCCCCGGCCAGGGAGCTGACCCACATGGCGCAGCAGACCTCTCCTGTCTCACCCGCTGCTCCCCTCAGCAGTGTATTAAAAAAAAGGACAGCCTCCCCTCTCCAGCACCCAGTCTCCACTGAAGGGAAGCAAGTGTGCCCACGGGGGCTGACAGGGACCCACAGGGACCAGTAATGAGGCACCAGAGCAAAGTCTGTGAAGCATCTGCCCCCCTCCGGCCTTCCTCCCAGACTTGGCAAGGCCTGAGCCGTGACGACCCCCAGGTGGGAGTCAGCCCTGGAACGCTGGTCTCAGCAAACGCTGGTCAGGAAAAGCAAATTCTCCTTAACATCAGCCCTGAAACAGAAGTCGACTCAAAACCACCACAAGGGCATCCCAGTCCAGCACTCAGAAGAGGGCTGCTGCACGCCTGGTTTCTCTCGGTCGCCCAGTAAGCATTCTGAAACTTTTTCCACTGGGAAAATAAAAACCTCTTTAACTCCAGGTCCCCTAGAGCCAATGATCTCCCCCTGCCCCAATTCCTTATTGGAACATCTCAAAGGGAAAACGCGCCCTGTCTTCCTTTCCACCCTTGGTCCACTCAGTCCGGCTGCTGCCTACCTGCCGGCTCGGCCTCCCACAGCTCACTGCTGTCCTCCAAGTAGCTGAGTCCCTCAGGCCTTCTGCAGACCACCCTCCAGGCCCGGCCTGCTCACCACTGGGCGTTCTCTGACATCCTGCCTCTATCTGTCTCCTTCACTGGTTCCTGTCCCTCTGTCTCCTCCATAAATTCTGGGGTTTCTCCAGAGTTCTGCCCTGGGCTTTCCTAACCACAGGGTCTCCCAAGATTTCTCCCACAAGCTACTGACCATGTTAGCTAACTGACTTCTAGAAATATGGGCTAACACATCCCACAGATGCCTGAAGCTTAACAGCACAGAGTGAAGTGGTCTCCTCCGGGGCAGTGGTGTCTCCTCCAGGAAACTGAGAACTGTGACCCCTGCACCTCCCTCAGCCCCACACCTTGCCTGTCTCCGTGTCCCGCTCGCCTCCCTCATGAGTGGGCCTCCACCCACCTGTTCCCCTCCCTCCCCATCACACCGCCAGAGGTGGGTGATGGGAGAAGATACATAAGGAAATTAGAGCAGAAAGAGCAAAGAAAATATCATGTAAATGATTTGCAAATATTTCCGAGAACTAGCTCAGGAAATGGAAAGCAGTTGGAGGGACAGCGGATGACTCCACAGAGAAGAAGAACAAAGCCAAGCACCTGCAAGGCTGGGGGGCGGGGGTGCTGACAAGAAAGCCAGAAGAGCAGAAACCTGGGGACATCAGGTAACCCAGCCAGAAGGGAGGAGAAGGGTGACCGGGAGCGGCTGAGACCCTCGCCCAGCAGTTATCTCCTCTGCATTGTCTCCCTCACTCTTCCTGGGAAGCTGGAATTTTCTTCCATAAAGAGACCATAAAGAATGGACTCCAGGGGCCTCCCTGGTGGCGCAAGGGGTTAAGATTAGGATGCAACCTAGGAAGCTGTCCACAGCCTCTGCAGCACGAGTTCGATCCCCGGCCAGGGAGCAACCCACATGGCACAGCAGACCTCTCCTGTCTCGCCTGCTGCTCCCCTCAGCAGTGTATTTCAGTAGATCTGCCTGTTCTGCTCCCCACTCTGCCTCTGGTGAATCCTCTCACCCTCCACATCTCTGGCCTGTACCCCAGCTCTTGTATGCATAAATAAATAAATCTTAAAAAAAAAAAAAAAAAAAGAATGAACTCCGGGAAGCTGCAGAACAGCGACATGAGGGAGGCCGGGAGACGTGGAGCCGAAATCAAGGTTGAAGAGAAACTGTGTACAAGACCCCAGCCAATGCCTCAACTGGAGATATGCTGAATACCTACACACAT